CCTTGAGCTTACTTTGTAGCCCAGGCTGGTCTAGAACTCTCCATAATCCTCCCGGCTCAACTTCCCGAGTGCTGGGATTGCAGGTATGCTCTATGATGCCGGGCTACTTTTGTTATTTTTAACTTCATATTCTTTATTCTAGCTTGGCCAACTGACCTATGGCTCTCGCTGTGGTGGCGGCAAGATCTCCCTACTTGACCACTGTACTATCTTGATCTGCTGGCATTTTACTGGATGAAATATCCTTTTGTAGTGCTACTATTTGTCTTACCATACTTTTTACCTGGCATCAATACAGCACTGTAGCTCTTTGACAGTTACTATTTACACTACTTATCCTTTTCCATCTTTTAAATTTCAATCTATCTTTGTCACTGAATCTAAAGTGTCCCTCTGTGGCCAGCACATAGCCATATCTGATAACTTTTTTGTTTTTGAGACAAGCTTTCACTATGCGATTCACACAAGCCTTGAACTCACAGCAATCCTCCTTGCCTCAGCCTCCAAAGTGCTAGGAATACAGGCATGCACCACCATGCTCAGCAAGACTTGAAACCTTGAATCATAGTGTGTCCACACTTAATGTAACTTCAGATGTGTTTAGAATCACAAGCTATTTTTCTATTTGTATCCTGTATGTCTCATGCATTTTCCTTGATGTTACTGGTTCACAGCCCATGATGTTACTGGTTCACAGCCGTTCCTCAGTATCACAAAGGGTTAGTTTCATGACCTCTGTGGATACCAAAATCCAAGGATGCTCAAGGATCTTCTATAATGTGAAACGGCACAGCATTCGCATATGTAACCTTGAACAAACCCTCCTACATACAGTAAATTATTTATAATACTCAATACAATGTAAATGTATAACTATATAACTCCTGCATAATTCAAACGCTAAAGAAAAGAAATTCTGTACATATTTATACAGATGCAACTATCATAGGCCTATTTACATGAAACATAATTTGTGGATATGGAGGCCAACTGCATGTTTACTATACCATTTTAATTCCTGATGATTTTCTTTTCAATACCAGGGATTGAATTCAGGGTCTCACATATGCTACACAAGTATTCGTTATTTTTTTTCTTTCAAGACAATGTCTTGCTATATAGTTCAAACCGGCCTTGAATTCACTAGGTAGCTCCAGCAGGGCTCAAACTTACAGTGATCCTCCTGCCTCAGCATTACAAGTGCTGAGATTACTGGCATGCATCATACCTGGCTTACATAAGCATTCTACCACTGAACTACCCCCCCCCCCGCCCCCAGTCCTTGTCTCACTGAGTTAACCAGGCTGGCCACAAACCTGTAATCCTATTGCCTTAGCTTCCCAAATGCTGAGATTACAGGTATGCACCACCATGCCTGGCCTACACAAGCATTCTATCATTGAGATATACTCCTACCCCTTTTTATTTTGAAACAAAGTCTCACTGAGTTGACCAGGCTGGCCACAAACCTTTGATTCTCCTGCCTCAGCCTCCTAAGTATCTGAGATTATAGGCATGTCACTATCCCTCGCTCTTCTATTAATTTGCTATGTTTTTGAGGCAGGCTCTCACTATATAATTCAGGCTGGCCTTGAACTCTCAGCAATCCTCCTGCCTCAGCTACCCAACTTCTCAGATTATAGGCATTTACCACCATGGCTGGTTACTCTTTTATTTTTTTCCCTTTTCCTTCATGTTTTGATGTGTATGTTTGTACTTAGTACTATTAGAGTCCTTAAGCTGCTTACCTGTGTAATACTTTCCAACAAATTTGAGGAGTTTGGGGTCATTATTTCTGTCTCTCTCTTTTTTTTTTTTTTTTTTTTTTTTTTTGGTACTGGGAATCAAACTCAGGACCTTGCACTTGCCATTTGTTTTTTAATGTCTTATTTTCTTTTCTCTCTTTTTTAGGGTCTCATTACACAGGTAAGCATCCTTGACATGGCTCCATAGCTGCGTGGCGTTTTGTTCATCTTTATTCTATCTTTTTACTCTCTTCTAGAAACTGGATGATTTATATTAGTCTATTTTCAAGCCCACTAACTCTTCTGCCATCTAAAATCTGATATCAAGTTGGGCATGGAGGCTCACCTCTGTAATTCCAGCACTTGGGGTGGTGAGCCAGAAGGATTACAGCAAGTTTGAGGGCACCCTGGGCTACATAGTGAGTTGAAGGCCAGTGTGAAGACCCTATCTCAAGCAAAACAAAAATAAATAAATAATAAATATTATATGACCCCCACTAGTGAATGTTCCATTTCCATTAATTTATAATTTCAATCCCAAAATTCATGTCAAAAAATTTAATTTCTATCTGGGCATGATGATATACATCTGTAATCCTAGCACTCTAGAAGCTGAGGCAAAAGGATTGCCATGAGTTTGAGGCCTGCCTGGACTACAAAGTAGAAATTCAAGGCCAACCTGAAGTACACAGAAAGACTCTGTCTCAAAAAAAAACTAATTTCTGTCTTTAGGATTCTCCATGAAGTCATTGTCATCAGGTTTTCCTTTAATTCCTTAAACACAGTTTCTTATTTTTCTTTTGTTTTCTTCAGTACTGAAGAATGAACCCAGGCCTCTGTGTGTGCCAGGCAAACACCCTGTTTCTGAGTTGCAGGCAAACACTCTGTTTCTGAGTCCACATCCTATTTTATTTTTAATTTTGGGACAAGGGCTTGCTAAATCATCCAGGATATATATCTCATATTACAATCCTTCTACCTCAGCCGTTCAAGTTGCTGAGATTAATGACATGTGCCATTATGTGGGGTGACACAGAATGACTAAATCCAACATCTAGGGCATGTACAGTCACTTTCTATTGACTTTTTTCTCCTCACTCAGCACAAGTCACAGCTCTTATTTTTGTGTGCCTTTTTTTTTTTTTAGTTTTTTTGAGACAGGATCTTGTGTAGCCAAGGCTGGCCTCCGACTGATCCTTCCTCCATCTCCCGAGGGCTGATATTACAGGGGTACAACACCATACCCAGCTAATGTTTTATAATTTTTAATGCAATATTAAATATCTTAGAGAGCACTAGCAACTCTAGATTCTGATCTCTGCTTTTGAAGGTAGCAAGGATGTGTTTGGACTAAATCTGTGAGTCTCTAACATATGCGGCCAAAGAGATCTCTGTCCAGTTCTTCCTTTGTTTCTAGATTCAAGTCTTGTTTCCTAAAGACTGCCCTGTATTTGCAGAGCTTAGTGCAGAAGTTACAAATCAAACAACTGGATTCAATAAGACTTCCAGTTTCTGTTGGTATATCTAGGTATGGGCAGGGAAATGCATTAAAAATTCAGGCCATTTTTCAGTTTGCCTAGCATCCACTGGCCACAGACCCTCCAGGGGCTCCTCTGAACATATGGGCAGGTTCTGTCACACTTGTGTGGGTAGCTTGGGCCTAATTAGTTTCCATTATGTATGTCCATAGCTCTGGTACCTAGGTTGTATGAGGATCTTGTCAAACCTGCTGCGGCTGCATCACCTCCATCTATTAAATTCCCAGACAGTCTGCCAATTTTGGTCTTGCCTGAGAAATACCAACACCTATGGCTAGTGAAGCCACTTACCTCTTTGTTTCCTGGTCATTGGTCTTCACCACTTGAACTGACAATGCTCAAAATCAAGCAAACTTCTATGTCAGGAACAACAGCAGCAAAACTGCTGGTTCCTGGCCTCCCCTTCCCTGACTACACTTCCCCATTGACCGAGCTGCAGGGATAGATGGGGATGATGGAAATAGCACAAAGAAAGAACACCATTGAGCTGAAACCTGAAGTTTGGTATTTTCTTGAATAAATGCTTCTCAGTTTGTCATATGCCTTTGACTTACTTTAAAAATACAAAAATAATTGTGTAGCTTTGAAGCTGCATAGTTTATGGTTTCTTTGCTCAGTTCTTTTGTTTTGTTTGAAATGGGGTGTCATGGCTTGTTACTTTGCTGCCTCTGTCTGCCCTGCTTTGCCATGAATTGTTTCTCCTATGATATCCCTCTGTCTGCTTTGCAGCCAGCTAACTACAGACTGAAACCTCTATGAACTGTGAACCAAAATAAATCTTTTCTCCTTTAACTTTAGGTGTGGGTATTCTGTTTCAACAGCAGGATAAGTAACTAAGACACAGGGTCTCACCACGTAATTGAGGCTAGCCTTGAACTCACTATGTGGCCCACGCTGGCCTCAAATTTCACCATGATCCTCCTATCTCTGTTTCCTCAGTGCTGACGCAATAGGCATGCGCTGCTACCCCAGGTGAGGTTCCTTTTTGTGGACAGGATTTGTCAATCTCCTCATTCTACCATAATGGAAATAAATTTTCACTTTTTTATTTTAATGTTTTCATTTCAATCTCAATTTTCATTTTAAGTAAACTAATACTGATCAAATAAACACAACAGCATTCTGAAATGTTAAAAGCAAACTATCAGTAGAAGATTGCTTTGCGGTGGTACTGGGGATTTAACTCTGGGCCTTTGCAGTAAGCTACATTCCAGTCTTTTGTTTTTTAATATGAGAAAGGGTCTCACTAAATTGCTAAGTTTCCCATGCTAGCTTCAAACTTGCTATTTTTGTGCCTCAGCCTCTCAGAGTAATTGGATTAAAAACATGCCACTACCCTAGACTACCAGAGACTATTTCTCTGAGTTTTTATGAACTATCTCTACCCTTTCTTAAGGTACACCTTAATACATTCCAAGTAGGCCCCTTTATATTGTTAGGTCATATTAGAAAACCATATTAGAAAACCATGGAAGACAGGAAGAAAGAAAAAAATAAAAAGGAACATAAAGCCAGGTATGGTGGTACATACTTGTATTTCCAGTCTGTAAATTCAGGATTGCTGCAAATTCAAGAACAGCCTGGGCTACACAGTGAGTTCAATGCCTAACGTACATGTTGAGATCCTGTCTCAAAAACCCAAAACAAACAAAACAAAACAAAAGAATGCAGTCAAAGGGAGAAATAGAAGAAATCTCACCAAGTATGAGCAACCAACCTGTGAGTAATAAATAGTGAAGATGGCATGGGATCTGCTACTGGCTTCATGAACATGGGTAGCTGCTGTGATTCTGTGTACAAGAGAAAACACAGTTAGTACAAGGGTTGTTTATGCATGGTAGACCTTGAAGGATCCATGGGGAATAAAAGAAAAATTAGTCCTGAAGGTCACAGATGAGAATCAAAAAACATCATGTTAAATCTAGTACAGTTACGAAATGGTCCAAAGAAGGCAGAAGCAGTACTTTTTATGCTGATAGCAGAGAAAAAAGATTAGTTTCACATCAACTCACACTGAAACACTGTTTGAAAAGTGATAAAAAAAGATTAGTTGCACATCAACTCACACTGAAAAACTGTTTGAAAAGGGATAAAAACTAACATTAGAGTGAAAAGGGGAATATTAAGGTATTATAAACCTGGAACAATATCCCTAACACAGACTATTTAAAGAAGACAAACAAAGATAGAGAGCTTGCTGGAAAAGACTCTAAGACAGAGAAAGGTGAACTGCAGCCAGCCATCGTGGCACACAGCTATAGTACCAGCATTCTGAAGTCTGAACCAGAAAGGTCACCTTAGTTTCAGACCAGCCTCCACTACAGAGTGGGTTCCAAAAAAAGAAAAAATATTAATTTGTGTTGGAAAGCCTTTTTGAAACAGGATCTCCCTATACATGCAGGCTGGCCTTGAATTCTCAACCTCCAGAGTGCTGGGATTATAGGCATGTTCCATCACACCCTGTTCAAAAAGGCTTCTGAAGTGAGATTTCAAATTATATCAATGTCATATTTAAATCAGAAAGAACTCAGTCTCCCTTAGAAATCCATTCCAGTGCTCACCCTTCGAGCAGGGAGCCTTCCCTTTATCTACACCCAAATTAATCACACTTTTGTTTAAGACTACCTCAGACTATTTCATTGATTTCTGTTCTTATGGGAGCTGGATAAGTGATGAAAGAGGTCAAAATCTAGAGGCTGATCTCTTAATTTAAAGATAAAGATGAAGGCCAGGGGCGTAAGCTCAGCAGCCTAAGTGCCTGGTTGGCAAACGTGAGGTCTTGTGTTCAATCTCTGGTACCAATGAAAAAAAAAAAGATAAAGAGGAAAAAGTGAAGCCTGACAGTTAAAGAACAAAACCTTCAGGGCAACCTGAAGACTAGACACAAGTTCTTCTGAGAAAGTTCCATGAGAGCCCAGGGGGACATTAAAGTTAATTTTTTCCTTCATTTTCAATTAAAATGAAGGTCCTGTTATTAATAATAAACAGGAGACTCTAAATACTTTTTTCCTATAGGAAATAAAAAGTTCTCCTAAGCACTAATTAATAGTTTAGGTGTTTCATAATAACTAAATTTTAGAATAGCTTTTAGAAGAGCCTATAGAATTTAATTATTCATAGTGAATTTTAAAACAATCTTGGAAACTGGGTGTGGTAGCACATGCCTGTCCAACACTCAAGAGGCTGAGACAGGTAGACTGATGCAAGTTCAAAACTAGCCTGGACTACAAAGTGAGGTCAAGATTAGCCTGAACTGCGCAGTGAGACTCTCTGTCTGAAAAAGAAAAAAAAAATTTAGGGTGGTCACCTTATAAGTATCCAAAAACAGAAGAAAGGAGAGGATAAAGCACGCAAAAATCCCTTTTTTGATCAAAGTAGTAAAAGCTGTATATACTAAAGCAAAGTATAACATGTCTCTGGACTTATTGCCTGTTATTATCATGTCAAGAACAAAGTCCACTTCATTTTTACTGAAAAGAGCACTAACCCTCAATCAGCACTCCTTACCCTGGTGATACAATGTTCTGATAAGGGCCTCTCGGTGTGGATGTAGGGAGCTGCAGACAGAGACAACTGTGTCGCCACAGTCCACAGGGGAAAGAACACAGGACAGGAGACTGAGGCTGAAAGAATGATGGGAACACACAAACCCATTACCTGTTTGCTATTCCCTCTTCCAAGAGTTGGATTACTTGCTTATAGTTGGTAACTACATGTTGAGACAGACCTATCAAGATTTGTGAAAGGAGAAAAAAAATCAAATAAAAATTATGGTAAAATTTAACCTTTTCCTTTAGGTTAATTTTAACATTGCTATTTTATACTATTTGATAAGCAAGAATGAGGAAATGGCTAAATTCAGATAATAACTCAACAAATAAAAAAAAAATCAACAAATGATTACTGGAAACCTACTGTTAGGTGCTATGACAAGCTCCAGGAATACAGGTTTCTGCCCTAACAAAGGTTGTGTCCTGGAATTTGTGCTAACAATTGCTTATAATTTTGCTATATAGGTCATAAGAAATATTTTCAGACAATACCTCATTTGACCCTCACAAAAGTCCTGAGATGATAGGCAGGTGCTATTTTGCCTACAAAGTGGCAGACTCAGTTTGATACACAAAGTATACAGTACCCATATGTCTATCTTCACAGTTCACAATCCTGCTAAGTTACACTATCTATACAAGACAGCATGACCAAGTGCTACAGAAGTAGCAGATAAAATAAGGACAGCTGAGCAGCCCTACGGTCTGCCATGGCAGACGGGAGATTTGAGTCAGCCACTACAGAAAAGGTAAACTTTACACAGTTGAAGAGGCACCTAGGAGGATGTATGACGTCTTTATGGCTGACACTGACCAAACCACGAAAGGCCTCTGAAGGCCGGGAGTGGTGATAAATGCCTGGAACCCCAGCACTCAAAAGGCTGAGGTGGGAAGATCGCTACAAGGCCAGCCTGGGCTACATACGGATTTGAACATCAGCCTGAACTATATAGCAAGATCCTGTCTCAAATTTATTCAAAAAGGCTTCTGCAAGAAGCCATACTAGGGAATCTGTACGGTGTTAGAGATTCAGAACAAAGTAACTTCACAGGCCTATTGCTAAATCCAACTACATCAAAAATGAACCAAGAGGGGCTGAGGATTTAGCTCAGTGGCATAAGCGCCTTCCTTGCAAGTGTGTGGTCCTGAGTTCGATCCCTGGTACCGTAAAAACGAAAAAGACAAAAAAAAAAAAAAAAAAAAAACCAAGAAATCTGAACCCTAGTTGAACTTTCTTTTTTTTTTTTGGGGGGGGGGAGGAGAACAATTAAAGAACTTGATATAATTATGGAATTACTGGCATTAATTAGATGTGATAATAATTTTGTGGTTATATTTTAAAATTACGTTTTAGGGCCACATATTAAAATATTTATAGATAAATTCATGTGACATCTGGAATTAGCTTCAAAATATAGAATGAGGGAGAGTGAATAAGAATATAGATCAAGCAAGATTAACAAAGACCTAGTGGTTACTGTAATAGGATGTGAGGGTCACTTTACTAGTATGTCTAATTTTGCATATGTTTGAAAGTGTCCGTAATAAAACCATTTTAGAATTCAAGTATGGAATTTTTGGTAATAGCAAATTACACATATACACTACTGAAAACAACTAGAGAAAGCTGTACAAAACATAAAAGACATCTGCTTGAAGGCAAAGGATACCTAGAAAGTCAAATATTCCCATTCCATACACTAGGGGAGAATGGAAACCCAGAGATGAAGGGAGCAACTTTGGATGCTTTGGCCCTGAGGACAGATCCTGGGGCAAAATGGTGGAATGTTTTCGTGGAGCCACTCAGGAATGGAGATGATGCTACATTCTAAAGGCCAGCAAGAAAACTTCTACTTCTTTGATTTTTTTATTTTTTGAGACAAGGTCTTACTCTGCAGTTCAGGCTGGTCTTGAACTCACTATGTAGTGAAGGCTGGCCTTGATCTCCCAGTGATCCTTTTGCCTCAGCCTACCAAATTCTGGGATTATAGGTGTGCACCACCACACTCAGCCCCTGCTTTTCTTTGAGGAAAATTAAGAGCAATATACCTAAGCAAGACACAAATACTGTGGTTACCAGACAGAACTTGAAGTAACTGCTTACTATCTTCAAGGACTTAAATGACAAGATGACAAAATTTCAGAGAAAATTAGAAACTACAGTAAAAATTGTATTGTCATGCCTACTTGTGTACTTGGTTATAATTTCTGTACCAGAAAGTATTTACAGAAGTATAGAGATAATTTAGAGCCCTTCCTCTACAGAACACTTCATTCAGACTAGATCTTATGCATGCTACCTTAGGACTGAGAATGTTCACAACTTAGCTGCAGTCCTTTCAAAGACTTATTTATAGTACTTCTAGTTAATGCTGTTTCTGTGGAGTCCTTTGAGTTTCTATCTCAAAGAAGTAGGGGCTAGAGCTGGGCATGGTGGTGCATTACTATAATCCCAGGATGCATTTGAGAGACTGAGGAAGGAGGATGACTATGAGTTCAAGACCAGCCTAGACAACACAGCAAAACCCTGTTAAAGGGAAAAAAAAATGAGACAGAGTATCATTAAGTTGCTAAATTTCGCAAGCTAGGCTGAAACTTGCAATCATCCCACCTATACCTCCAGAATGCTGGAATTATAGGCATGTACAGTTACATGCTGCAAAACTGATTATAAAAATTCCTGCTACTTGAGAGTCACAGCTTCTTGAGAGACTAAGATAGGAGGATCATTTAAACTCACAGATTAGAGACAAGTCTAGGCAACAAAGTGAGACTCTCATCTCAAAAAAAAAATTATACACTATATTCATCAATTAGAAACCAAGGAAATATGTCAACAGCCTACCCACAACAGGAAATACAATCAGCTTTCCCTGTGCTGAGTTCTACAACCATGGATTCAACCAATGATGCATTGAAAATATTTTTTAAAAATTTAAATAACAGGGGCTGGGGATTTAGCTCAGCGCCATAAGCGCCTGCCTTGCAAGCAGGCAGCCGTGAGTTCGATCACCGGTACCGATAAAAAGGAAAAAAAGACCAAAAAAAAATTTTTTTTAAATAACAATGTAACATTAAAAAAAATTTAAAACACAGAATAGCAACTATTTACACTGAGTTAGGTATTACAAGTAATCTAGAGATGATACAGAGTTTATAGGAGCATGTGCATAGGTATACACATACATACTACAGAATTTTATATTAAGAACTGAGGATCTGAGAACTTTGGTATACACAGAGAGTACTGGAAATGCCCCACCAGAGATATCAAGAGACAACTGTATTGAAGTTGGAGTTGTTTTTAATTTTTGTGGTACTGGAAACTGAACTCAAGCAGCACTGAGCTACACCCCCCAGGCCCTTTTAATTTTGAGATAAAATCTCACTAAATTGCACAGGCAGCCCTCAAATTGGAGACTATCATGCCTCAGGGGTTTTTTTTTGTTTGTTTGTTTTTTGTCTTTTTGAGACAGGGTCTTGCTATGCAGTTCACTTTAAGCTTAATTTGTAGCCTAGGCTGATCTTGAACTCACAATGCTTCTTTTGCCTCAGTCTCCTGAGTGCTGGGATTACAGGAGTGCGACACCACCTGCAGGTATGCCTCACTCTTTTGAGTAGATGGGATCATAGGCATGTACTTAAAGGTTATTTCTGAGGCTGAAGAAATTTCCATACAGGAGATAAGAAATTTTTTAAAAAGTAAAAGTAATAAAAATGGCACATAAGAAGAAATAAATGAAATTCAAATCCTCTAAGGTTTTTTTCACTGTGTGGGACGAGTACCAATTAAACTGGGTGTGGTGGCACAGGTTTGTAATCCCAACATTTGGGAGGCTGAGGCAGGAGAATTGTCACGCAGGAGAATTGTCACACATTCAAGGGCAGCTTAGGCTCTATAGTAACTTCAAGCCAGCTTGAACTACACAGCAAGACCCTGTCTCAAAAAAATTAATAAATAAAAATAAAAAGAAGTACCACTTAATATTATGTTGATACTCAATGGCCCATGTTATAATCTCTAGTGTGCCACCAAAATAATGAGATAATATACAAACAATAAGGTAACAGAGTAGAAACACAGGATAATTTTAAAAATAAACCTCAAAGAGTTTAAAAAAATTTTAATGCAGCAAGATAAAGCGAAAACACAGTTATAGATATAAACCCAAACAAAACTAATAATTACATTAAACATATACAGACCACGGTCTCTAACTCAAAGACCAAAACTGTGACACTTAGCTAAAGCAAAGGGCAAACAAACTTTTTTTTTGGTACCAGGGATTGAACTCATGACCTTGCACTTGCCAGACAGTCGCTGATAGTGCTGAGCTAAGTCCCCAGCCCCAAAGAAACATTTTTATAAGATATAAATCTGAAATATAGATACGCAAAGATTGAAAGGTTTGTTTAGATTTTGTATGGGGTTTTTTTGGTACCAGGGATTAAACTCACAACCACATGCTTGCAGAGTAGACGCTTATGCTGCTGAGCTAAATCCCCAGCTCTGAAAATTTTTTATTTTTTAAAATTTTTTTTAAAAAGGGTAAAAATAGTGCCAGGCATCGTGTCACACACCTGCAATCTCAGCACTCAGGAGGCTGAGGTATGAGGATCATTGAGAGTTCAAGGACAGTTTGTCTATGCCTGAGGTTTCTTACGGGTTACACATATATGCACAGAGGTCATTCTAAAATGAGAAGTTGAGCCAGGTATGGTAGCGTGTACCTATAATCCCAGAATTCTGTGAAGCTGAAGGGAGAGGATTATAAATATGAGCCCAGTTTAGGAGATTTAGGAACTTAGTGAGGTCATCTTGAAATTTAATAAAAAGGGGTTAAGAGCTGGGTGTGTGATCCCAGCATTCAGGAGGCTGAGGCAGAAGGATTGCCATGAGTTTGAGGTCAGCTTGGGCTGCACAGTGAGTTCAATACCAGTTTAAACTACATGGCAAGACCTTATCAGGAAAGGGAAAGGGAGAAAAAAGGAAAGAAAAGGGGAAAGGAAAAGGAAAGAGAAGAACAGTAGTGGTGGCTGGGAATGAAGTTCAGTGCAAAGCTCCTGTGTTCAATCCTCAATAATAAAACAAAAATATAAAAAGTTGTAGCTGGGCACTGCAGCACAAACCTGTAATGCTAGCTATTCAGAGGCTGAGGCAGGAGGATTACAAGTTCAATGCCAGCCTGGGCAACCTAGTGAGATCCTATCTCAAAATAAAAAAGAACTAGGGTTAGTCAGTGGTACATTTGCTTAGCATGCATTGAGGCTCTGGGTTCCATCCTCAGCACCACCACTACCCCCTCCCCACAAAAAAGAATAAGTTGTAGCATTATAGCATTAATTCATGGTCTGCCTTGAAAGCACTCCTTTGGGCTGGGGATATGACCCTTGCTTTGTATACACAAGGTCTTGGTTCAATCCCCAGCACTACAGGAGAGAGGAGGAGGAGGGGGAGGGGAGGAGAGGAGAAGGGAAGGGGAAGAAAAAAAGAAAAAGAACTGCTTTAAACAAAAATGTACATCTACAGAGCTTCCCAAAGGAAATTCACACTAGTCCCTAGCAAAGAAAACTACGGTTTTGATGTTTCCAGCTACTATTTATGACAGAACACTTGGGAAAACAGAGAATCAGAGACTGACACTCCACTGGGTCATCTATTAGCTGTGCCTGACCAGAAGAGACCAGCTCAAGATCTGTCAGAGTACAGACACAATGCAAGAAAAACATGCACACTTGATATGAAGGAATGTAGCTGTGTCTAATATGAATGTTCATAATTCAATACATCATGTGCTATAATAGATGTACTTAATGCACTCATGTAAAATAAAAAATGTTTTCATAGTTTTGGTCCCTGTAATTTTTCATCATTTTTGTGTGGACCATCATCCTTAAATGTCATCATTTTTGTTGCCATTCCTATCTCGTAAGTCTTCATTCAATTAACAACTGATTTAATGGAAACTCTGTGAAGCCCATCATGCAAGAGGTCACGACTTGGGTGCAGAATGCATAGGATAAAACCACTGACAGCTATGTTGCCAATGCACTAGAAGCAGGCAACACAGCAAGAATCTCTCATTTAAGGAGAGCTCTGCTGCTAAACTCAAATTGAGAGACTCAGGTCAATGGTTCTACAGGAAATAGAGAGGCACGGAATTCAGGCCAGAACTCAGGGTTTGGGTAGTTATGATGATGTTCCAGAAGATGATGACATGCCTATATTTGAATAAAAATAGATTTCTGTACATGAATAAATGTAAAAATGTAGTTTGTTACACATGAAAAGTAAGACATCCCTTGAAAATAAGCTCCACTGGGGCTGGGGATTTAGCTCAGAGGCATAAGTACCTGCCTTGCAAGCAGGCAGTCGTGAGTTCGATCCCTAGTACCGATAAAAATGAAAAAGACAAAAAAAATAAAAAATAAAAAATAAAAAAATAAAGAAAATAAGCTCCATTGTGTCTTTTAGAGCAAAAACTAATGTAAGAGGCAGTTTTATTTTCAGGGAAATCAGGTAATAGCAGGACCCAACTTAATGAAATAAGACAGATGATGAAGCACACCAGGGCCTGCCCCAGACCCCTCATCTCAGAGTCTCTTCACTCCTGATGATGGCCACGTGTGGAAGACATAGTAGCCACCCCCTCCCCACCAAAAGGAGACTGACTGACCTAACAACCAGTCAGCCAGCTGTTGTACCTGCAGATCCAGCCTGTTCTAGGTCTCCTTTTTGGCCACACTCATCTCTCTGCTCCCCTCACTGTGCCACTTCCCACGGGACTGTCTCCTTCATGGCATTTAGCTTTCAGAACTGCCTCTCAGAAAAGCTTCCCTTAACACCAAGCAGGTGGGTTGCCTACACTTTCCAAAGTTCTTTCTATCACTCTGTCCACTTATTTTTTTATTAAGTTTTATCACAATTTCCAAATAAGTATCTGTTTCTGGGTATAAGCTTGCCCACCCAGATAAAGGCAGGATCTTATCTTTTCATCCAATGTTCTGTACGTGGCTGGCATATAGCTGAGTATTCACTACACACCTGTAAAGTGCATTAGGGAATGTTAGGAAAACTTCCCAGACCCCAGCTTGGTCTCAGACTCAGCACACAGTAGCTCACCTTGTACATAGGGCCCCATCTCTGGATGCTCCCTGACCCGAAGGGTATAGGACTTTTTTTGGTCAGACTGCTTCAATAGATCACGTACTCGTTCATTATAGATTTCCAGAAAACTAGAGAAAGAGACAAAGACAAATTAAATGTTTTTTAAAAGAAAGAAAATTACTAAATTAATAATTGGAAGATTTTTAAATTCTTTTTTAAAAATTTTGAAGTTCTAGGTTCTTGTTCTAGATCTACCTCTGCCACATTCTAAGATCTTAAGCCATGGTTTTCCCTTGCATATTCTCCATGGGTTTGAGCACTGATGGTCACCATAAAAGTGTTGGCTTTGATGTCCATGCCAAACTAACATTAGCCCTCCCAGGCTATTTCAGAATGATTTTTAGGGTATTCTGTCACCAGACACTGGCCTGATCAGACTTTTACATGTGATCCTTCTAAATGTGATTGTTCTGAAAAAGTAGCTCAAGGGCCACTACTAAGCTATGAGGGAAGCTAAATTAGAAACATCTAGTCCCAGGAGGGCATGTTGGCACATGCCTATAATCTAAGGTCTCCAGGAGGCTGAGGCAGAAAGACTGTAAACTAAAGCTCAGCCTGGGCAACTAAGTGATTTAACAAGACTCTACCTCAAAATTTAAAAAAAGGAGGGTCTTAGAGATAGGAGTGTAGTTCAATGTAAAAGTCATGTCTCAGTACCAGAAAAAGTCAAACCTATAGTCAGGCATGGCAGCACAGTCCTCTTCAGGAGGCTGAGGAAAGAGGATCATAAGTTCAAGGCTAGCCTGAGCTAGGAACATAGTAGGACATTGTCTCAAAAAAAAACAAAAACTCCAGCACTTGACCCTACTGTAAGCAGTACAGTTCTCATTTTTTTTTTCTTTTTCTTTTTTGAGACAGGGTCTCACCGTGTAGCCCAGATTAGCCTTGAACTTGTGGTGATTCTCCTGCCTCAGCCTCCAAAGTGTTGGGATTACAGACATGTACCACCATGCCCTGCAGCTTTATGGATTCTGAAACAGATCCTGCTCAATTGCTGTAGTTCATCTCAAATTTGGGAATCTCCTACATCTATCTTCTGAGTAGCTGGGATTACACAGTATGCACCACTACACCTTGCTGGTAAATACATTTTATGGGAGGTGAAATACATCTTGATTTCTTTCTCTTTTTTTGTACTGGGAATCAAACTTGAGACTTTGCCCTTGCCAGGCAGGTGCTGTGTCACTAAGTTATATCCTCGGCTCCTATATCTTGATTTTTTAAAGGACACTGAACACTTAAACAAACGAATAGCAAACAGCGTTTATCTTGGAAAAGCCAGCTCTAGTGTGGGAATTACAGTGTGAGAACTACTTCCCTACAGAACAACCCAGTAGAAGCTTGGGAAGAAAAGTCTGTAAAGCTGATATAAAACTATACAGTAACTGTTTTGGTCTGGATCTAAAATGTTCCCCCAAAGCCTCATGTGTTCAGCAGTTTGGCATCTGGAATTAATTAAATCATAAAGGTGTGGGGTTGGGGATTTAGCTCAGCGGCATAAGCACCTGCCTTGCAAGCAAGCAGTCGTGAGTTTGATCCCCAGTACCGATAAAAAAAAAAAATCATAAAGGTGTTAACCTCCTCAATGGATTAGTGTACTGATAAGAGTCACAGCTGAATGCACTATCAGTGGGTCTCTGGAGTGTGTCCTTGGGCACCACATCCTATCCTGGCCTCTTTGCAATCTGGTGCCTCCCCCTCTATTCCTGACTTTCATGAAGAAACAGCTTTATTCTGCCATGTACTTCTGTCATGATGCCTCTGTCTTGCCACAGACCTAAAAGGAACAGAGCCAGCAGACCATGGATTGAAACCTCTGAAATCAGGCACTACAATAAATCTTTCCTCCTCTAAATTGATTTTCTCAGGTATTTGGTCACAGTAACAAAAAACTAACTAACATAAAAAATGGAGGAAAGGGAAATGCGATAGTCAAGGTAAGTGGGGCCACAGAAAGAACTACCTGTTCAGTCCACAGGTAGGGAATTAAATTTTCTATAACCCAAGAACCTAAAATGTTCCCCAACTTCCTGGTAATGAAAGAGTTTTCTGCTATGGCTTTCCTCTATCCTTTTGTTGACTCTGGAAGAAGAAAGAACAGCTAAACAAGCTCAGATTGGGACTAGAAATAGGGGAACATTTCAGATCCTGGAGCTTGATGGGCTCTTACCTCACTTTTATCCTACAGGAGGAACACAGTGAGGCACAGTCTTCCTTTCTGAAGAGACCCTGCACAGACCAAAGGAGAGCAATCTCACCGAAAGGAGTGGAGAAAGGAGACCTACTTTAGAGAATCCAGTCAAGAGTCTATACCTCACATATCCGAGGTGTCAGCCCAACAGAGGCCTGGAGAACAGAAGAAAGAAAGTATTATTGTTTACTCCGAGCAGTGGTCCCTCACCACCAACATCCTGGAAACCCCCTCAGGATGAAGGATGGGCCTGTGGTTCTTTACCACTAGCCTTTCTACATCAGGCTGTTTGACTAAAGTATATGAAGGTTTGGGTGGCCACATTATTAGGAGACACTTGTGAAACCAGGTGTGATGGCACACCCCAATAATCCCAACACTGGGGAGGCTAAAGCAGGAGGATCACTGAGAGTTCAAGGTAAGCCTGAGCTAAATAGTGAGCTCAAGGCCAGTCTGTACTACATAGCAACAACCTGTCTCAAATAGGAAAAAAAACAGCAACCAAACACACAAACAAAAAAACCCAAACCAGTTAAGAGTCACTTGCAAGAGCAAAGCACTGATGAGAAGAAAACTATCGCCCAAGCGCAGAGGGTGGAAAAGCTAGCCAACCCAGACATGTGTCCTTATGCAATAAAGGTGACATCCTTCTTAAATAAACCCATTTTACTACTGTGTTCTCAAGATACCTACTTCTTATCCCTAAACACTACAGGATTAGAGGACATAGGAGCTATAAAATATATAGCTAGAGAGAAGTGGCTTCTTTCTCCATCTTAGATCCAGTTTAAGTGCTTTATGCTCCTTGGCTTAAGAAACAATTTATTATTTGAATTTCAAGTATACAAAACCACACTAAACAGGCACAAAGCAAGCAACGAATGGGGGTCCCAGACAGTGGAATAATCTTTCAGGATGAACAGTGTCCTAGAGAACATCACTGGATAGTATCATTTGCTACCCATTATACAAGTTCACCTCTCTAGGATATTTCTGAAGCTAAAACAAGAAGTTGGGGAGTTTTGTTTGTTTTTGGTGTTTTTCATTTGTTTGCCTGTTTTTTGCTATGTGGTACAGGCTAGCCTTGAACTCGCCTACGTACTTGAGCTGGTCTCCAACTACGCCTCCCAAGTGCTGAGATTACAGGCAGGGGCCAGATAACCCAGTTCAACAAGAAGTATTCTTACAGAATGCTTCCCTCCTAATTTTCAGTGATAAAGAAGGCTTTCACCAAATCCTGCTTACTTTTGACAGTTCCAGCCCTGTTTCCTTTTTTTTTTTTTTTTGTCTTTTTCGTTTTTATCGGTACCAGGGATCAAACTCACGACTGCCTGCTTTCAAAGCAGGCCCTGTTTCCTTCTTACATACAGATCTCACACATGTAGCCTTTGCACTGGGCTAAATAATTTCCTCTATGTCCAGACCCAGTCAGCACTAAGGATTCAGTTCAGGTCTACCCAGAACAAAGATGTTAAGAAACTTCAAGTGATCAGCTAGGAAATAATATAACAAACTCAGTCAGCTGGACAAGGACTCCTTTGTCAAAAAGATCTATGAAATTCTAAGGTTCTTTGTAGTCTAAGAAAGAGGAATTATTCAAAGTTTACCTTGCAATTACAGAAGTGAAAAGCTCATTTTAAGTACAGAAGAGGGCTCGAGTAAATCTTGTTAAAGTTTGACTATGGAAATCATGTTGTCACACTGGCAAGGACATACAAGATGCAGTTTTGCTGTGATATTCGGAGGTAGCTCATGACAGTACAAAGACTCACTGGAGTCCCCAACATTGTATACGTCTTCCCAGAGCCTGTCTGTCCATAGGCAAAAAGGCAGATGTTATAGCCCTCAGCAGCACCAGATAATACTTCAGTCCCCAAATCCTGGAACACCTGTGACAACAAAAGCAGAGAGAATGTCAATGGTTCCTCCCACGAAAATTTAGAATTTTTTTTGAATTTTTTAAATATAAAAACTATAAAATATTTCAAACATACATACTATAAATTCCCATTATTTCATAAGAACAAATTCAATTTTAGACAAAGATGACTGGGGCTGGGGATTTAGCTCAGCAGCATAAGCGCCAGCCTTGCAAACGCATGCGTGGTTATGAGTTCGATCCCCAGTACCAATTTAAAAAAAAAACAAAGAAAAAGATGACTGAGGAAAGTTTAGTCAATCATTCAAGTATTTTTTTTAAAGAGCCCATTCTATGCCATGCATGATACTAGGTATTAAAGATATAAAAACTATACGATCTCTAGTCTTAAGGCAGAGTCTGGGAAAAGGACAAAGACATGAAGAAAATATTTTTTCTCTCTCACACGAGAAGAAAATGTTTTAATATGGTTAACTGGATAAAGCTGCCATAAAATACTGCTTGGTAACATGCAAATTCAAGGTCTAAAAATATCACACTGAGGATCAATTAACCAAGAATTGGAAAGGGCTTTCACCGCAGGCCATTGTCTGTATGTTCTCTCTTCAGATTCTGCCTAACATCTGGTTGGTTCTGCTGATCACTTACCTCTGTGGTAGTCAGTTTTTGTCGGGGGGGGGGGGGGGAGTCCTTGCGTGAAAACTCCTGTATTTTGAGTATGGCCTAAAAGTCCTGTTTAACTCTGATAAGCAGATCTTGATTTCAGGAAAAACCAGACAGCTTCTAAGGAAAGCACAGCTCCCCAGCTTAACCAGTCTGCAGCAAAATGCACATCAACATCTATACATGTGCATGGCTGGAGCCGTAGACAGTTGCCCTTTGTATCAGTGTTGTCCAGCACCTGAATACTCTTCCCACATAGGAGGAATCTGTATCAGTCTCAGTGGCAAAATATAGAAACCATGCAGGCCATATTCTCCTCTTCACTTAGCAGCTAGAACCCTGACACACAAAATAAGGCCCATTGAATACACAAATGCTCCCACTTGATTTTTATTTTTCTTTTTCCTGTAGTACTAGGGATTGAACTCAGGGCCTTGTGCATGCTAGGCAAGCACACTACCACTGAGCTACACCCCTAATCAACTGAACTTTGTGGTTTTTATTTTTTATCAGTTAAAACTGAATTCATTTATTTTTTCAAACCCATCTGATTTTAAAGAGAAAAAATTTCAAAACACTTTGGAGGCAACAATGGTACATACATTGCCCACTATCATTCCCAAATCATTCACCCACAGCACATCTGCATTCAGTTATCTAAACAATACCAGCACAAATCTTTCTCTTCAAAGAACTCAAGAGAAATCAAAAGTATAACTAGTTCTTTCAGCCTTTCACACTAGCAAGACAATAAAATGTTTACAAGTGTGATTTATCTCTTATGAGTATGCTCTCAAGTTATATTCATTGACCTATAAAAGTCAACAGTTTATCCTTCCTTATGGCTGAGTAGTACTCCATTATATAAAAGTACCACATCTTTTTAATTCATTTCTCAGTTTATGGGCATTTAGGTTGCTTCCAAGACCTAGCAATTACAAATTGTGCTGCTATGAATATGGGGCACATATATCGCTGTGGTGTGAGGTTTTTAATTCTTTTTGGAAGATATCTAGAAGGGAAATAGCTAGGATGAATGGTACTCTAGTCCTAGGTTTTTGGGGAATCTCCACACTGATTTCTACAGTGGTTGCACCAGTCTACACTCCCACTAACAGTGGAGAGGGGTTTCTTTTTCCTCACAGCCCCTCTAGCATTTATTGATTTCTTGATAATGGTCACTCTTTCTAGGGTGAGGCAGAGTCTCATTGTTGTTTGATTTTTTAAAATTTTTATTTAAAGAAAGACTAAACAAAACAGAAAATAGGAATAATACATATGTTCAGAGAAAAAAATAAACAGAAATCACTAGTTGATGTTCACATAATGTCGTTTTACAAACAGCGGTTCAAGGTACAAAAATGGAACATGTAAAGTGGGAATTCAAACAGTGAGACTGCAAACAGTTCTGTTTAACTGTCCAACAAAAACTTAGTAACATGGTTGTCAATCCTATACAATTAAACATACATGCAGTTATCCATATCTTCATTTATGTTGAGATTAAACAAATTAAAGCAGGTTAAACATTCTGAACAAAGAATAATAGTATTGCTGGATTTCACATCATGACACTCTGTGATCAGCACTGGGTACTTTAGTGTCTTTTTTTTTATTTAATTTAAAGAAAGACTAAACAAAACACAAAATGGGTAGAAATAATACATACTTTCAAACAAAAAATAAACAGTAAGAAATCACTAGTTGATGATTATAGATTGTCTTCTTACAAATAGTTATTCAAGATATTAACATGGAGCATATAAAGTGGGGATTCAAACAGTAAGACTGCAACCAGTTCTGTTCAATTATCCAACAAAAACTGAGAAATATGGTTATCAATCCTATACACTTAAACATACATGCAGTTATCCATATCTTCAATTATGTTGAGATTGAATAAACCCAAGCAGGCTAATATCAATCTGAACAAAGAATAATACTATTGCTGGGTTTCACATTATGACACTCCAGGATCAGCACTGGATATTTTAGTGTCTCTTTTTCTCCAAAGTATCTCCTCATTTCATCATGTGTCATAAGATCAGTTCTCATAAACTGTTTATAGGTTCTACACATGCATGAGTCTTAACATGTATTTCTATCTTTTCTATATTAGAGGGAGAAACAAAACAAAGCAAGGCAAAACAAAACATATTCCTATAAACACATGAAACAAAATAAACATATAAGACCGTTGTACAAAGAGTTCTACCATGGTTCCTGTCTTGTCTCTTATTATCTCCAACAGAATTGGCTATATCATCAGACATAGTATAACTGAATATATCAGTGCATAACAGTATTAATAAAAACACAACTTTGTATATAGTATAGAACTTCAAAAACCAGCAGTTATCAAACCAGAATGTGTATCAAAGAGTCTTGTCATCTTCAATGTAGTTACCCACTCTCAAACTTGATACTATCAATCATATCAGTTTTGAATAAAATCTTCTCTGCCTCATTTCTGTTATGCTCTTTTTTTGCCATCAGTTGTCTGCTTATCTTTTTCATTCTGTTTTCTGCTCCATGCATTGAGGCCTCTCTACCACTGTTCCTGGAATCCTAGTACTTATCTCTCTCTCTAGAACGTGCTGCAGTATTCTCTGTAGAGTTGGATTGGTAGCTGCGAATTTCCCAAGTTCCTCTTTGTCTTGGAAGCATCTTGTTTCTCCATTAATTTCTAGAGATAGTTTAGTAGGGTATATCAATCTGGGATGGAGGTTATTTTTTTTTCAGGGCTTGGAATATTTCGCTACAGGCTCTTCTTGACTTGAGGGTTTGTGTCAAGAAGTCTGCTGTTATTCTGATGGGCCTTCCTCTATAGGTTATCTGTTTCTTGTCTCTCTCTCTTTTTTTTTTTTTTATCAGTACCAGGGATGGAACTCATGACCGCCTCCTTGCAAGGCAGGTGCTTATGCCGCTGAGCTAAATCCCCAGCTCCTGTTTCTTGTCTCTAACAGCTTTTAATATTCTGTTTTTATATTAAATTTCTGGAATCTTGATTATTATATGCCTGGGTGTAGCTCTGTTTTGGTTGTAAGTGGCTGGAGTTCTGTATGACTCATACATCAGAATATCATTTCCTTTTCCTATGTTTGGGAAGTTTTCCTTAATTATTTCTGTGAAAAACCTTTGTAGTTCCTTTGTTTGTACCCCAGCTTCTTCATTCACATTCTTTTTTTTTTTTTTTTTTTTTTTTTTTTATCTTTTTCCTTTTTATCAGTACCAGGGATCGAACTCACAACTGCCTGCTTCAAGGCAGGCGCTTATGCCACTGAGCTAAATCCCCAGCCCCCTTCGTTCACATTCTTTATTCTGAGGTTATAGATCCTTTTGTCATCTTCTAGCCTTTGTATTGTTACTGCTTGTTTCCTTGTTATTTTAAAAAGTTTTCCCTTTCATACTCCCACATTACAAAATTGCCCTCCAGTTTAGATAATCTATCGTTAGTTTCTTTCAAGCTAATGTGCCATCTTTCCATAAAGTTTTTAATTTCCTGGTGATCTCTTTGAATCTGCTTCATGTATTCTATTTTTTTTATAGTCTTCATCAAATGGTTCTCTTCTTTGAGTTCCTCCCTTCTTCCATCTGCATCTGCTTGAGGGGTGCGCTTAGTATCTCTTTTATTAATCTTCTTGTATCTTGCTTTACTTGGCTAAATATTGCACTTTTGAACTCAACTATGAGGTCCCAAATATATCTCTTTATGTCCACTGGCACTGTGTCTGGTATTGCATGTTTGCTGTTCTCATTCTTCTTTGTATTTACCTGTCCTGGGTCCATGTTCTCAGGGCTGGGACCTGGGAACTTTTTGTTGTTGCTTCCTCTGCCCATCGTTTTTGCTTCTTCCAGGAGGCCCCAGTTTCTTTCTTTGTTGGTTGCAGTTCTTCTGAAGTGCACTGGCTAGATGACCCTTCACACTGCCGTGTGCTAGTGAGTTGCAGACAGGGACAGCATATGCTGGCCCCTCTCCTCCGGATCAGTCAAGCTGCTGTGGCCTGCACTGTATTACTTTGCGCTGCCTCCCCTCTGGGCGGCAGCGGTGGTGGCAGCAGCAATGGCAGCGGCTGCAGCAGACTTTGCGCTGCCTCCCTTCCTGATCGGTGGTGGCTGCAGTGGCGGGGACAGGGGCAGGGGCAGCGGGTGGGTGGTGAGACGCTCCGCTCCTCCAGCCTCTGGCACAGCGGCACGGGGATCAGTCAAGCTGCTCTCATTGTTGTTTTAATTTGCATCTCTCGAATGACCAATGATGTTGAACACTTTTCCACATAGTTATTTGCTGTTTATATTTCTTCATCTTAGAAGTGTATATTCATCTCAGATGCCCATTTTTGGACTGGG